TAGTATCCAAGTGTTTGTGAACGAGCGCTTTCAAGTACTTTTTCAATATATTTTTAGATAGATAAGATGAAACGGCTATTATTGTAGGTAGGTGTCTATCTCCAGTTGATCATAATAAATATATAAACAAAATCTAAAATCGTTTGCCTTCTAAAACCTCTATTAAATAGTGTCATCTACAAATTTTTAGTTCTTTCTACCCTATAGTGTACAAATGTCAAATTCGTATGTTGAACACACAACTACTAACCTATCTTGTAGCTTACCGTTTGTCTGACCGCAGATTCATACTATTATTAATAAAATGAACATAGACAGTTGAGAACAGGTTATTTCTAGTAATCACCAAATAAATATTTGTAAGCAATATGCGATTATTATACAACTAATTGTAAAAAATGTCTCTCTTCTCTTGAAAACATTATAAAATAAAAGAAAAAAATGCTAAATAAAATTTTCAGTTTTTTAATTATTTTTCTTATCATTTCACTCCAAGCAAGGTGATAATGTCACTAAGACACCACGGGTTACTGAGAGGGAAAAAGAATGAGAACACTTTAGTGAGGGGGAAGGACAATAAAAGAAAAGGGTTCAGGAAGACGGAAGATGGTGTCGGGGAAGCAAGAAGTTCAAAGAGAATTCTATCGGTGAGAAAAGAAACTTAGTCTTTTAGAATAGGACTTAAGGTCATATCTAGCTATTTCAACGATTGCTATTTTAAACGTATTTAACTGCGATATATTTTTACCTTGACAAAGTACAGTGTAACCCGGATATAAGAGATCCGGATATAAGAGAAACCCGGATATAAGAGAGATTTTCTCTGGTCCCAAATTAGAGCCTGTGTTACCTAAACAAAATAGACCAAACCCGGATGTAAGAGAAACCCGGATATAAGAGACTTCTTCTCCGGTCCCGACAACTCTCTTATATCCGGGTTACACTGTATTAGAAATATAATAATAATGAACTTGAAATAATAAACATCTAATTTACTTTGAAAAACGATTAACATATAATTGCCAGAAGTAGGACTGAAAACAACAGATCCACAAAACGTCTGGGCAAGTGAATCCAGGCATGCGTTCTTTTGTTTGTACGTAAACAAGAAAATTTAACTAAACAAAATAAACCATTGTCTATTCAGTTGTCTTTTAATCAATGTGTAAGTTTATTTTGCTGTCTGTGTCCGATTGTCGTTCGATCAAGGAAGTTAAGCAGCGGTGATCCTGGTCAGTACTGAAATGGGGAAGCACTTCGTAGCACCGGGTACTGTATGCGACTTCTTACAATTCGAAATATGTTTCGGCTTTAAATAACCCAGAAAGGGTTGTTAAACCGTGAAAAACAAACCAGTTAAATTTCCCCCAAGTGAAAAATGTGGCAGAATAAGCCATAGGCTTAGCTTCTAGCTTCTGGGGCGGGCGATTGTGAAACATATTTTAAATATCCCAAGTGAGAAAGAGCTGTTTGTTTTTGTTTGACAAATCACCTTTCTTTCGATATTTTAGCTTTTAACATTTAATTAAAAACTCAGACCGAATCAGGAGGAGTCAATATAGGAAGATTGTGTTGCACCAATTTTTCAAGTGGGGAGAACCTGGCCGTCTTAAACAAACAAACAAACAAACGGGATTAAACTGTATTATCGTGCTTTTTTAAACAGATCCTCGGAGAAAGAGGTTGCCCTTTGTGCATAAAGCCTCCGAAAACATGTTTATTTAGTCATTGCTTGGGGGAGAATTGTTATTTCTTTTTATTTTTAATCTGTATACAAATAAAACACAAACTATCAATTAGCAGAACAGCTGATGATATGTGAATGGGAGAATATCTTCTGAACAGACCACAAAAGACACGTTATTAATTTTTAGGTAAAGTTGTAAGAAACAAAATGTCTTTCAAAAACAGATGATAAAAAATGTGCATTTTAAAATGCATTATTTTGTGCCAATAACTGTTTTATTTAGCCAACAGGTAAAAAATGATATTTATTTACCATATTTCCCGGTCTCAATGTTGAATTCTAATTTTGACTTGCAAAATTTGGAAAAAAAACAAAACTAAAAAACCAAAAAAAAAAAAAACCCCAAAAAACCCAAACAAACTTCGGTCCACAAGACGCAACGTAATCTTTTGTATTTTATTTCAGAGGAGTGGGGATAGCGTCTTCAATTTGAGGAAAATGTAGGTATTTTAATAATGAATATTAAAATATAAATAAATAAGACCCAACCCACAGAAAACAGACATGAACGCCTGTTTGTATACTATATAGGTTTTTTTTTGTCACACAATTTTTTTTATATTTGAGGCTGCAAAAGTAGGTATACAGTAAGCATTATACCACTACCAGTATTAGTGGTTCCTGGATTCATTTACTAGAATTCATTAAAATCATTTTTAATATTTTCATAATTTTTATTATAATACATTTATCATTTTTATTTTACTAGTAGTAGTAGTAGTAATAATAATAATAATAATAATAAATGGTAAAGTGGTAATTCAATAGTGGTTGATAATTTAACGGACAAGGAGTGCAAATAGATTTTGAAACAGTACTGGAAGACATGATTATTAATATGTTTTAGTTTGTACTATAATTCAATACAATACATTTTGTGTGCACGTTTTGTTTTTCGTTACTGTATACCTACTTTTGCACCTCTGTATAAAACCTGAATTGACTTCTTTTTTTTAAATTTCTCTATAAATTTAATAACTACATCTATTTTATTTCATTCCACTTATTTAATATTATTTATTTTGTTGTCATATGGTTGGAGAGTCCGTTTTGTAGATTTTTTTCCTCAAAACCATTTTCAGAAATATTATTGATTTTGATTACATTTTCTCCCTATATTCAGGAAAACAACGTTATTCCTGATAATGACAGCTATTAAAAACAAAATAAAAAGGTTTATTTCGATGTGTTCTACACACTTGGAAGATTAAATAAAGAATTGCGCAGTGAAACAGAACAAACTGCTTTGCGAGGTTTCCCTGCGTGTAGTGTTTATAAAACAATCATTCGTCTTTGTTCCGATGACTACAATATTCGTGAGACAAAGACATCTGTTTGTTGTCTTCTTTTGAAAGAAAGGAACAAATTTGGGGTGTTTTGTTTTTTTATTGCCAGAACTTAACCTTAAGTTTAAACACTGCTTTTCAAATCAAAATTAATAAAAAAAAAAAAAAATAAAATAAAATGAGTAAACATTCACATTTTTAATCAGTTAAAATTTTTAAAAATGTTAAAGATCTTTCTAAATGTTTTATTTTTTGTGTGGCGAGGGAACGCGATATTTATTGTGTTTTAGGGGGTTTTTTTCAATATTTATTTTAGACGACGGAGGAAAAGTGTTCGTTCATTATTTAGACAACTTATTCGAGATTTTATTTTGCTTTTTAAACGAAGTTTCGACAAAAAAGATCATAAGTGCAAAAATTAAATAAAACTATTTTATGATTTCATTTAATTCAATATGCATTCATTTAATTTTCCATGTCCTAATTATGTACAGTAATGTACATTTCTTTAAATCGTGAAACCATGATTTTTTTATGATTTAAAAAAAAAATTATGTTTATCGATGCGATGCTGAAAAGTTCTTGGTTTAACAAAGGAGCCCTTTCAAAGGAAAAAGAAAATTCTAGAGTGAGGGTCAGGCCGAAAACTTTTCAGAAAACCTCTCGTAAAATATTTACGTCAGCTAAATTTTTTTGTTCAAATAGGCTTCCGGGCTTTTTTTTTTTTTTTTTAGTTAAATTCACTTCAAGGAATCATTTTTTTTTCAAATTACAGTAGAGATTAAGCCACATGAAGGATTTTTTTTTTTTTAAATTTCATATAACTGACTAAATACCCCTTTTGATCCCTACACCCTACGCAAGCAAGTAAGCGTATGATTTAAAAAAATTATTTCACGGCCGTTTTGAAATTTGAAATTTTGTATATAAGATTTTTTTTTTCACACAACACAGGAAAACAGTTAAGATACTTTATAATACAATAATTAAATTTTAATTTTAATTTTTTTTTAAGTAAGAATATGCTTTATCATGAGGTAACCAATTTTTGGTATGGGTTGGGTTGAGGGATCAATTTATAATGAATTTACGCAGAAAAACATAACGCCTTTAAAATTTTCTGAAGTGCGTATTCGATAGTTAAAAAAAGAAATCTTGGAAAGGTACGTTTCTCTAAAAAAGTCTAACATAGAAAAATCTAAATCCTAGTATAGGGTGATCTAAAAACTATTTTTGTTTTTAACAGACTAGTAATACATTTTTTATAAAATCGATGAAAGCACACCATGAGTCAACAAAACTCTTTTGTCCAGGTGAGAAGAGGCTTTCATCATCAGCTGAGTAAAATGACGTTGCCCTTGGAGACCAACTCATAGACGCGCAATACAAAAAGAAGCGCTCTGAATAAATTATGAACAACGAAGTATTTTTTCAGCGTTTAAGCAATATATAAGAAAAATTAAACCAATTTTTAAATATATTTGTTGACCTTAAAAATAATTAAAGTCTACATATTTTATTTAACAAGACTTTTTTTTAGTTCGAAGCAGAAATCTTTAAGAATAATATCTTTATTTTTTTTAAAAATATCAAAGATGTTGTAAAACAAATGAAATTTTTTAAAAGAAAAGTATTTTTTAAAAATATATGGAAATTACTTGTTCTAACATCTTAAACGAAATTAAATATTTATAATTTTAAAACTGTAAAACCTATTTAAGTACTTAAAAAACAATTAGTAAAAAAATCCTAATTTATTTAAAGGCGAAAATATTTGTTTTATGAAAATAAAGCAATGTACTGACATAATTCATTCTAAAGAAAAATATTCCTCATCTTAAAAACAGAAAATATCACAAAAAATACAAAGTCTTTGGGGTGGGTATAAAAAATGTTAGTAAGGTTGTTTGTTGACTTTTTTTTTTATTAGTAAAAATGTGAATCTCAAAAAAATATCGGACACTCACTTTCCATTTTTGTCAAGGCACTCAACAGTCTTAGAAGAAAACACCGTGGCTGTGTCAAAACTTCGGTTACAAATAGATGGAGTTTCATAACGAGGTGGAAGCGGAGGCGCGATCACGGTGAAACCGCCCTCCATGGTCACACAAGAAGAGTTAAGGTAGAAGAAAGAACGAAGGGTAAAGTTGTGCAACAATCCAATTATTTTAAAAGTAAACGCGAGAGAAAAGTTAAAAGAAAAAGAAATAAATAAAAAGTGTCCTGGTCGCAACAGCCGAGTTTGTTGGATACTTGATGGGCAGAGAAGCCGGACAAAACGATGCAGAACGGACAGTCGAAGATCTTTAGCTAGGCTTGTGACAAGGAAGCACCCAGCGTCAGTTTATATATAGTTGCCGGCCTGAGGCGGGAACAAAGAAAATACTGGGCAGCAGCAGGTAGCTTTATCCGTTTCCACCCCATCCGACCTCTAATCCAGGCTCGGGAGATGGCATAAGATATGTGAGGGAGGGAGAGAGAGAGAGAGAGAGAGAGAAAGAGAGTTGTGATTGAGAGAGTTGAGTGGGGGAAAAAAAATGAAAAAGATTGGATCAATGTCTCCCTCTGAGCCAGGATTAAAATGACAAGGAAAAAGTGGGAGGTTACTAACTATTCTCCTCCTCCCCGGCTTCACTATACGTGTGCGTGAGTGACGTGTTTATTTATTTTTTTTATTTTTTATCTCTCTCTTCTTGATCTTTCCTTTCTCCCTCACGACAGCTGTTCTTTTGCCACAGTTGTTACTTGCTGTCTACCTGTTACAAACAATGGTTTTGTTGCAACGGCATAAGAAAAAAAAGAAGAAAGAAAAAGAAGAAGAAAAAGAAAAAAGGGAAAGATAGATACTATTCAATTGATAATCACTTAGTGTTTACTGTTATAAAAACAATAAAAGGAAACATTCACAGATGTTATCTTTTGCGTACAAACAGTTCCCTACGTACATTTAGAAACATTGAATAAAAAAAAAAAGTAGTTCAACGACTATTTGGTCCAGTTTGGAGTCCTAACAGAATGAACCATTAAATGACATTTATTTCCCAAACACAATTGGCGTAACATAATCTTCCAGTTATACATTTCAACTCCAATTTTGGTCAAATCTGCCTTTTTAAAATCATCATTCAAAAATCATCTTACCTGGGCTAGAACACCGGCCTAAATATCTAGAAACTTATTCTGATAATAGCCTTACGCTACAAATATAATTTAAAATGGTGCAGCGTATTTATATAGGAAATTATAAAGGACAGGAAATTGTGGAGAGCCATAATTGGCAATGTCCTGAATGGACATAGCACACAGAAGAATAAAAAAAAATATTTATTACTTGCATAATCTTTATTAAATCGCTATTTTTGAGCATATTTCGATTTTTTCGAATGGATATTGGTTGTGGGTTAAGTCTAAGGGTAGGGAAACATTTGTTTATGCACTTATCAATTAGAAACAAAAGTAAAGGTTTTTTTGTTGTTGTTGGTAATGATAGTATTTAGCAGTTTCCTTACAAGGAAACATTTTTGTCATTCATTGATCGAGCAGCCAGTGCTACCATCGGTTATAATTTATAAACTCTTTCTCTTAAAACAAATGTTTAGGAAAACAGGTTTTCGAGAAAAAAAAATAAAATGAAACATTTATTTATTTTAAAGTTTCCATACCTTAAAATTATGGCCGTTTATTTTTGGTGGGGGCAAATGTAAAAGTTACAAATGAAATGAAATCTTGCGCCATATTGGTTTGGAACAAGGTATGTCGCGTAAGTCAATATTTTGTGAGAGATTGAAAAATATCAGACAATATCACAATACACAAATATAAATGCAAATATCTACATTGAGGAAGTAGGGATACGTCATCTCCATGGTAAAGTTCATTCTTTAACTAGTGATCATTGCATTTTGATTAGTTTTAACTTGTTTATATTTATATATATATATATATATATATATATATATATATATATATATATATATATATACCCAAGTATAGGATTAGTGTATACGTAATAAATTCCAGTAACCAAAAAATACTATTCTTAATAGAGTGTCTCTCTCTCTCTCTCTCTCTATATATATATATATATATATATATATATATATATATATATTTAGATAGATAGAGAGAGAGAGAGATAGAGAAGGTATACAGATAGATGTAGATAGAGGTATATAGCTGGATAGACAGAGTGAGAGGTATATAGATAGATGTATATATAGGTAAATAGATGTAGGTATGCAGATAGAGACAGATGTAATTTGAAGTATGTAGAATGTAGAAAAAAAAAATATATATATATGTGTGTGTGTTGCTATTATTAACGTATAAAATATTAAAATACGATACAGTTCTCGTTCTAAGACTCAAAATACTTGAAGCTGTTCTCATACAAAAGAAACAACTATCACTAAACAATATATTTACAAAAATAAAAGGTGTATACCTTACAAACTCTCCTGCACATGACATCACTAGTATTCGATACACGTATATTAGAATTATATCGCGCTTTACAAATGCGAACTGGAAGCTCATACAATCTATTCTTTATTGCAACTAATAAGATTAATGTTCCTGATAATGACTAAAGATTGTCGAAACTACACAAACAAAAAATATATTATATACATTTGAGGACGCTTGATATTAAGTTATAATTGTATATTTTTTTTTATATTTTTTAATATACACTACAGTTCAAAAGTTTGAGGAAACATCTGGTATTTTTTAAAATTGGCCCCCAAATTATTATACATTGTTAAGAAAAGTTAGACATGATTTTTTATTAGAAATTTTATGATGACAGAAGAAGAAGAAAAAAAAGAAGCATTTTATGATTAAATTTTGCGCTCGTCAAAATATCACCCTTTAGACTTGATTACTGTAGCACAGATTTTTAGCATCCGTTGCAAAAGTTTCTCAAAGTATAAGCTTGGTAATCGATTCCGTTCGTTTTTTTCAATGACTCTAAGAGAACTTTTTATTTTTTTTTTTTTATTTTCACTGTTCTGTTAAGTCCTTCCCATGATAATTCTGGGCGTTGCTTCAGACTTTTTAAGTGTAGTATATATATATATATATATATATATATATATATATATATATATATATATATATATATATATATATATATATAAGTTATAAAGAACTTGGTAAACCGAATTGGTAAATTCAAGGAGGATGAAATCCTGAGAGCTCAATGTGAAGAACAGAGCTAATATTTAATTTCATTGTTGGAAGTGTTTACCTGATGATCCGAAATCCTTTAAAAGGATTTTGGTAAAATAAATTATTGTAATGGTACCTTAAAGTCGTCTGTTTTTCATTAAATATATATATATATATATATATATATATATATATATATATATATATATATATATATATAATTAGTGCTCTTTGAACAGTTTCTTTATAAATTTGATCCCGATGCGAGCCAACTTATACGCGGACTACATAAATATAATAAAACTATATTAAAAAATTAAACAGACAAAATTTGTCGATCGATTTCTATAAAACTTATTTATATATGTTATACGCGTACATACAGGATCGGTGCAAGGGTTTCACCCTCTCTCGGAATCTATGACAGCCCCAACGCAATCTACGATGTGGTCCCCACTCTACAACATTTCAATTTTCAAAAGGTAGTATTCATATAAAATACAAATTTTATTGTAACCTATGTAATATGTAGCAAGATAAGAGAACAATTTAACTAGAAAAATTGAAAATAAATACAATTTTTTGATAAAAATATATACACAAACACATAATCAATTTAACCCAAGCAAGGCGATAATGCCACTAAGAACCAATGGGCTACTGAGAGTGAAAGAGAATGAAAAGATTTTAGAAGGAACAGGAAACAAGTTCAAAACCTGTTCAAAAGACTGGGGAGGAGTCTGAACTGGTTGATAAGGCAAATCTATCTGCTCCTATTCAGGAAAAAACAAAAACAAATAAATAGTAAATAAAATTTCAGAGTTTAGGCGGAGACATTAGAATTATAGAGTTGAAGTAGATTTCAGATGGAACCGGAAACCCAATCCTAAATAGTAAACAAGAAATAAACCTTTACTCCTGTTCAAAAGACCGGGGATGAGTGTGAACTTATATACATATGCTTTAAGGTATAATATATTTATGGGTAAAACCACATCAGAGATAGAGCGTATTTAAACATAAAAGTGCACACTACAGTCAACACCAACCCACAATAGTCTGTTTCATGCTTAAATGCAATCTTCAGTCGACCAGGAACAAATAGGAAAACCTTTATAAATGCCACATATTTCGTTATACATTTAACTTCATCAGAAATTTTAGAAACGGAAAAATGTCGAATTGCGTTTCCAACCTGAAATTTGCGTCGAACCATGGAACAGACTGCAGCGGCTTTGTGTTGACCTATATATATATATATATATATATATATATATATATATATATATATATATATATATATATATGTGTGTGTGTGTGTAAGTAATGAAAATCTTGGTAATCCGTATGGATAATCACAAGGAGGATGAAATCCGGAGAGTTCAATCTTAAGTCAGAGCGTACCACACTCCTCAATATTAAGCATTGTAATAAAAATAAATTTAAAAGCTCTCCTATCTCTCCCTTACCTCGATCCTGTCTATCACACTATCTCTCACCACTCTCTATATCACCTTACATAAGCTTAACACTGCCCTTCAAAAGTGTAAGTTTAAATTCATTTTTTAATCCTTCGAAGTGAGGCCTGATGATCCAGAGAGAAAGAAAATCTCAAGCGAAATAAATTATAACAATGGAACCTTAAAGTGGTCTGTTTTTCTTTAAATTTATATATATATATAATTGAAAATATGGATTAAATAATGAACAATTAGGAAATATATTTATAATTTTAACATGTTTCGCTATATATTTAGCTTCATCGGAAATTTTTGAAGCATAACTTCACAATTATTTCACTTTTAAAATTTATGATGAAGCTGAATGTATAGCGAAATATGCTAAATTAATAAAAATATTCCTACTGGTTCCTTATCGATCTTTCCGATTCTGATGAACGGTATTACGCGAAACTCTGGAGTCGGCCAAGAG